CCTTTAAGAATTTCGGTGTAATAGTAAATTATAATTAGAAAGAGAAAGAGCCTGTTTAGGGTTAAGGCAGCTTAACCTGTTGAGTGCTGAGCTGTAAATCAAAGCCCCTAAGAAGGCGATAAGCCACCGAAACAGAAACAAAAAAAATCCTAGAAAGAAAAATTAAGAAAGCAAAAGGAAAAAAATGCAACAACAACAACAATAACAACAATATGGGAAAAAGGGTGGGCGGGCGGTCGGTTGGATGGCTAGCTGGTCGAAGGAAGTGGCCGCCGCAGAAGTTTGCCAAATGAAATTTATGGCATATAAATTATCTCACACGTTGCCGGACTATTGACAGCTCTAAAATAATCGTAAAATGGCCCAAGAAATCCATAAAAAACGGCAGAAACAAAAAACAAGAAGAAGAAGAAGAACAACAAGAAGAATCGTTATAGAGGGGAGGGAGGTGAGGATAGGGGGGGAGGTTTAACTAAAGCGAGTCCGTGGCATAACCAGAAAGCCCAGAAAACCATGGCCCAGACACACACCAAAGAGAGAGCCCATGAATGTGAATTACTATTTCAGTTTTCGACCCAAAAGCGCTGCAAAATGAGTGTGTTTTTTGCAGTTAGGCAGGAAGGGGGGGGTGGTGCAGGAGAAGGGGCAAGGGTGGCGCTGGTAAGGAGCAAAGGGGGAGTAGGAAGGCATAACAGCAAAAGGGGACAGGCGACGACGTTGCCTTTTGCCTTACCCTCTCTGTCGCTCTCTCGCTTAGTCAAGTTTTCAGTTTTCAGTTTCTGTTTCTGGTTCGGGCCAAGCCCCGGATTGCAGAAATTGAAAAGTTCCCAACAGTTGGGGGGCCCCTCATAACTTTCATAGCACGGGACAGAAGACAGCGGACAGGAGACAGGGACAGAAGAGAGAGAGAGACAGCTACAAATGTCAGATAGAGATAGGCTGAAAGGGGAGACTACTACCTAAGGTAAAGGATTTCGTGTTGTCCTTATTTAAATAGAAAGGCTTCTCTCAATTTTAAGTTTCTTTTATTTACTTAATTTGTAATTTAAATATTTAAGAAACGTTATTAATTATATATTAATATTAACTTATAGTCGGTTAATGTTTGATTTATTTTATGAAAAAGAGCTAAGAAGCAACTTTTCTTCAAGTTAAATCAGTTTTTGGTTCTTTTAACCCTTTCAAACTTGCATTTTCTTTAAGCCAAATAACTTTTAACTTAGTTTTCATGTTTAAATAAGCTTCTGATTGGAGAAAATGAAATGATTTTTTAATATTTTCCAACTAAAAACAACACAAAATTGTAAAAGTTTCTTTTGTATTTTTCTACCTACCAAGTTAGATTTCATTTCACCGCCTTTTAAGACCAACTAACTGCCAATCTAAGCCTCCGATCGAGCGACTTTATAGTAATGACTTTTAATTTGAAACTGCCTGTGATCGAGAAACGTGTTTGGCCAGATCTGTTGTTATTTTTCTGTGTTCTCTAAACACAAGGTTTAAGCCTTAGTTGATAGATAGCCAGCCAGCCATCCGACCACCGGAGTAGGCAGGCAGTGAAAATCGTAGAATATATTGACAAGAAGAGAGGGTCTCAACGCCTCATTATGCATGGCAATTTATGGGCCGTGCCACGCCCTAGAACTAGACCTTAACCACCCCCCCTTCTCTCTGTCCTCACACAGCACACCATCCGGACATGCTAAATGCGGCAGCTAAATGCGGCTGCCGTGTGTCTACGCTTCTTGCTGCTTTGCTCCATAAATCAACGAAAGGATCCATAGAGCCGTTGATGGACAAGTTGAAGTCCAAGTTGCCGTCGTCGTAAATGTCCAACGACGCAGCGGCCAACCGACTAACCGAACAGAAAAACGGCTAGAAAAATCACATTTCCCTTTTTGGCGAGAGGTGTGCGGACAAAAGCTTCCACGGAAATATTGTTGCACATGCAGCAGCAGCAGTAAGGGGAAACATCAACAGAAACAGTAACATGGGGCAAAGGCAAGAGCCCCACGACGACGATCCTATCCCCCATCGTAATCTTCGGGATCGTAATGATCTCTGCCTTTGTGGCCAGTCATAAATGTTGATGAACAGCAGCGCAAACTTTTGTCGAAGGCGTTGCCGGTCTGAGCTTTTGTTGCTGCTGCTGCAGTTGCTGCTGCTGCTGTTGCTGCCGTGTTCGCTAGCAGCAACATAAAAATTGAAAAGATGCAGCCACCAAGATATATGCGAAGAAAAATGAGCAGTCGACCAGAGAAATGGCCGGGGATATATTGTAAAAAGGCAACAACGAATGATTACCCTCGATGAGAAAGGATTTGAAAAGCAGTAACTGAGGTGGTTAGAAGGAAAAACAAACTAAAACTCCAATGGTTACTCTTTCAGGGAATGAAATAGAAAGTTTATATTTGTAAACTATGAAAAAAACCGAAATTTGTTAAAGGAAATTCCACTTTTCCATCTATAAAACATGTAACTTTTGTTTTTAGTAATCCTAATCTTAGTTCATAACTTCTAAGACCCCCCTCGTTAACTAATGGGTAAGACAGAGAGGGATAAAAAGCGAGAAAAAACCCAACGAGAAACTGTAGAAGCAGGAAGAAGAAAGCTTGGCAGCTTTATGACTCGACTTGGCATCAGTCTGACGCTGTAAAGAGCCCCACTGTACGGGTCTACGGCTTCCTGAACATCCATTTTCCAGTCAAATGTCGACAGCTTTTGACTTGAACCATCTACGCCCTCCTCCCCCCCTCCTGCAATGTGGAGTTCTGTAGGCAATTTATGAGGGAGGTGGTAGGTAGTAGGTGTCTGCCGGCTGCATGTCCAATGTCAACAAGTTTACTGGCGAATTTTTAGATGCAATTACAGGGGAACGTTTCTTAGTTCGAATTAGGAGGTGGCTCTACAGTGAAGGCAATGAGGGGGGAATTTGATATATCTTTCTAAGATATGTCTAAGCTAGCTGTAAAGTCTTCTAGGCACTCCTTTTTATCATGGAACTCTGCTTGTTTTTGAAGTCTCTTTAACTTCAAACCACTTTTAAGTTAATAATAATATTTGAAGTAGCTCCTGAAATGATTTTCCTTCGTCATATCATAACATTCTCACATCCAAGCATTAATATTGTAGACCTTCTTTTATGAATCTAAAGTTTAGTTTTCAAAATCCTGATTATAGATCCCTAACTTGGCTTTCTAAAGGACAAAAATATTCCGAATTTATACCAAAGCTTTACCAAATCCAACAAAGCGACTAACAACTGTATTCCCAAAGAAGGAGAACCTTAGTTTTTCCACATTTTTTCACCTATTTTTCTGTTCTTAGTTTTAGTTTTGGTTTTTCTTTCTTCATTCTGACATTAAACAGTCAGCAAAAGTGAAAATTTGACAGGAGAGCAAATGAAATAAAACAAAAGCCGAAAAACAAGATGGGGCAAGAGAGGAAGAAGAATGCTTAAAGAAGAAGCAGCAGCAGCGGCAGAAGGAGAAGCTGAAAAACTTTGACAACTGCGCAAAAGTTTTTCCGTCCAAAAACAAAAAACAAAAAGAAAAAAGAAAGAAAAAAACCGAAAAACGGGAAAACAAGAGGAGGAAAAACAAAACCGAAACAAAAACAGAGGAACAAGAAACTTCAAAAGCATACAAAATGGGTATGCGGAAAAGAGATGGCAAATGGATGGACGAGAGGGCAAGGACGAAGGGGTTAGGGGTCGGGTCGAGGTATTAGAGCCAAGCCAAGCCAACCGGCGATCCCCTAAAAATGGGAAACAAGTTCAAAAGTGCAAAAAACTTTTCTCCCTGCCCAGCCGTCGCCATTAAAGAGGGGCAAAAAAAAAAAAACAGAAAACCTCCTTGGCCATCTTAACCCATTGTTGGCAAAGGCGGTGTCGCTAACCCAAATACCTAGGGATCGCATTTCCAAGATCCTGCCTAGGGGTTGACTTCCATTCAAGGACTTTCATCAACCGCAGCAGCAAACTTAAAACTTTTCTTATGATGAAAATTTCGAAAGCAAAAACCCGACGGCATGGTATTTCTTATGTAATCTTTGGGTTTTTGTAGGATATCCTTTTATGGTCTTTGCTTCTCTTTAAAGTAACTTTTAAGACTATTTATAATCTTAAGAGATATCTTTATATCGAGTCTTCTAAACTATATGTTGTATGTCTGATCTTTTTGCAAGATTTGATTTGCTTTTAAAACAAATAATCTTCTCTGCAGTGACTAAGATTGTAACTAAACTAACAGCTTGTCTATTTCGAAGGATCTTTTTATATAGATTTTGATAGTTATAGATCGGAAAAACGTTTCCAAGTATCCATCCTTTTATATTGCTTTTAATATAAGTTACTTGATGGGAAAACCATATCCAAGCCTCCTCCTTTGGCCAACTCTGATAAAGTTATAAAACTCTTCTTTGCAAACTTTCAAACAGGTGCTACTCATGCGAGTCTTATGTTTCTTCAATCTAGTTCTGATCTATTTATTTATAATATCTATAAGAGATTCCTCTTGATATATGGCTTAAAATGTTTTTTATAATAATAAGCTTATCATAACCCAGAGGCTTGCCTTTAATCTACAAGTTGGAATCAATATGATTCTGTAAACTTGGCAAATCTCTGATAGAAGAGATTCTGCTGACTCAATCTTACTATAAATTATACTGAAAAGGCAGATTAATGTTTAATCTAAGGATCCTAATGGGACCTATGGCTGTGTTTTCCTAGTAGACAACCAACTTTTCTTTGTTTTTCCTATTATTAAGCATATTAATGGAAAGGGATTGCCTCGTCCCACAGCTACTTTATGATAAGATCATAACAACACCTACTAAATAGAAGACTTTAAAAACTTTCCCAGGTCTAAAACCAAATTTTCAAAACTCTCTCTTAACCCTCAAGCTCTCTTCCCATTTGCTAATATCTTTCTATAGGACTTTTTGGGGGGCCGTTTCAAGCCCCCCTTTGGGCTGAAACCCTTCTAGCGATCACTTACCGATATTGTGCTGGCTGGTGTGTAGTACCGCCCCGAACGCCATCAGATGGTCCTTGGGCGGGGGGGCGCGGCTACCGAGGGCGGCGAACCCGTCGCCCAGAAATGACGCCAGTGCGACGGCCCTCAGGGGCGCTTTTGAGGCCTCGGTGAGAATTTTGTTGTCGAATATCTTGATGCCGGGGGGGATGGAGTTTTTTGTTGTTGTTGTTTTATTTTTTGGTTGTTTTTTAAGGGGGGTTCTGTGGTTGCTTTCTTTTGCGTTTTTTTTTTTGGGGGGAAGCCGGCCGTCAGTGGGTTAAGTCCCGCGTGTGTACGATGCGCGCGAGTGTGTGTGTGGGTGCGTGATTGTGTGTTTGGGGGTGTTTGGAAGCAAGAGAAAGACAGAGAGAGATAGAGAGGAGCGGGTTAAACCCCACCAACGCACTTAACGGTTAACGCACATCAAGATTGGGGGGCGATGGGTGCGAGCGAGAGGGGGATAGCACGTGTGTGCCGGCGGCAAATTTGGCAAAACAAAAACAAAGCGCGAAATTCCGCTCCTCTTATGTATTTTTTTTTTAATAATTTTTCCTCTTCTTCTTATTCTTCCTTGTATTCCAGTATTTAGTTGTATATTTTCTTCTTCTTCTTATCCTTATCCTTTATCACTTTTTTCTTAACACTTTCTTGATCTTTTCTGGTTTTGGTATATATTTATGATTCTTCTTGTTGTTCAAGATTCTCTCTCACTTGCAAAAAAATTTGAACAACGCAAAAATTCTCGATTTTCGATTTCGCGGCGGAACGGAAACAGCTGACTAACGGTAAACGGTGAAACGTTGAAACGGTTTCCCTTTCGAGCGAACGTTTCTTCCTCGTGCGTTTTGCGTTTTGCGGGCGCTTCACGCGAACGTCAAACAAAAACTGAAAACGGAAAACGGCAAACGCGACGGCAAAGCGGACAGCCCGATTACCGATAACTGCCAGCCGAGCGCACACGCACACACACGAACGAGCGAGCCGAAGCGACGACGAATGGCGCTCCTGTGTGCAGGCGAGATAGTTGTTGGCAAGTCGCTCGCACTCATATAAACAAATGCGGGACATAGTTGCCGTTTGTTTAGCTTGCGTTAGACAGAGATGCAGCGTGTGTTGCGCTGTGGCTGCTGCGACGTCAACTGCGCTGCTTGCGGCGCTGCAATGGAGTCGCAGGCTCTCTCGTTCTCACGCCCTTGCCTATGCTGCCGCTCGTGCAGCCTCTCGGGCGGGCTCTCTCTCGTTTTGGGGGCATTGCAAATATCATTTTATTTTCTAAAAAATATAAAATATTTTTTATTAAAAAATATTTTTCGAATTCTTTTTTAGTTATTTTTGTTTTTTATGGTTTTTAATATAAAAAATGAATTAAATTTAGAATATTCGAATCTTTTTCTAATAATCTTTTTATATTAAATTAAAAAACTTTTTTGTTGTTAATTTAAAAAAATATTTCATGCTTGTGATCAAAGTTTTTAAGAGGAACACTTAAAGATTTTATTTTTTTTAACCCTTAATCAATATTAAAATCTCTTTTAATAGTAAAAAACATCATTTTTTCTTAAAGAAATTACCACTAAAATTAATAAAAAATGTTTAAAAAATATTCTCATAAATATTTCTCAAAAATTTTTCTAAAAAATATTAAAAAACATATTAAACCTTATCCTAAATGTAACTTTGTAGTTTTTTTAAACAAACTTCTAGCTTAGATCTCTTGCTGTTTTGATCCTCCTCTCTCTCTCTCTCTCTCTCTCTCTAAGTATTGTTCTAAGCTTTGTTTTTGTTTTTGTTTTTGTAAAGATACTTGCCGCATTTGTTGCTGTTGTGTTGCTGCCCCTTGTTCCACCATAGTTGCCCCATGTTGCCACTGCTGCTCTTGCTCTCCCTCTCTCCCAGCTCTCTTTTTTGCGGTTAGAGGGGGCGTTGCTAAGCAACTGGTTTTTTTTTTTGTGAGTGTGTGTTTTATTGTTGCTCTGCCTGCCTGCCTGCCTGCCTTTCGCTTCATTGAGAGATGCGCAAAATGGCGCTCTCTCGCTCTCACGCTCTCCGGCCGCATGCTGCCTCTCGGTCACACTCGCTGGCCGGGCCAATGGCATTTTTCAAAGTGACATTTGCCCGCGTTTTGTCCCTTTCGCACTTGGCCGTGTTTGTGTGCGTGCCAAGGTAAAATGTCAAATGCTTTTCGACTGTCAACTGTTGGTCGCAAAAAACTTTTTTCCTTCCCCTCCTCTTCCTCCTTCCTCCTTTCTCTTTTTTTTTTGTTTTTTTCCCCATTTTTTTTTGTTGGTTTTTGGTGTTTTTGTTCGGCTGCTTCTTCTTCAACTTGTGTTTGTCACTTGTCGTTAGCAGTGCGAAAGGGAGAGCACTAGAGGTGGAGCAGAAGTGCAAGGTGTCGGCTGAGGCGGGTATGGTGGGGGCGTGAGCGGGAGAGGGACGCCCCTTTGGCGCTTTTAACGCACTGAAGACAGCAGCAACAAAACTAAAGAAAGCAAGCGAAGAAACAAAAACCAGGAACCTGAAAAGTTTTAGAAAGAAATGTTAGTTAAAAAGTTATTTAAAAAAAAAGGATTTTAAATTTTAAAACTTAAAAAATATAGGAAATATTTTTAACTATATATTATTTTCTTTGATTTTTAATCTTAACCTTAAAAAAGTACAAAACTAATCATGTTTAATCCTGCACTTCCATACAAAAAAAGAACCGTTATAAGTAAAAAAAAGTCAAAGATAAAGCGCGAAAAAAATATTTAAAAAATTGTAAAAAAAATCAACAGCCATAAAAGCAAGCAGTGCGAAAGAGTGCGCAATAGAAAAGCGAAGGAGGTGGCGCTAGTGGGTGGCGCCCTCTTTCATTCTCTCCTTGTCTTTCCCCCTCCGACAGCCACTTCGATAAGAGCAAGAAGAAGAAGATGTTCGACAGAAAATGAGGGGACTGCGGCGGGTACCGTTTTATTTGTGTGCGTGCGTGTGGGTGTGGGTAGGGTAGGGGGGAGTCAAAAATATTGCACATTAGGGTGTTAAGCTGTGAAGTGCTTGCTTTTTGTTAGTGTGTACGTTTCTGTGTGTATGTGTGTGTGTGTGTGTGTGTGCCTGTGCGTGTGACTTTTTACTTGTTCTGTGCTATCGGAAAGTTATCGAAATCAGTTGATCTTTGACGACCTTGAAAGCCGCAACTGTCCCAAATTAAACAAGAGCGAATGAGATGGCGATGGAGGTTGTTGGGCAGCAGAAAAAGGGGGTGACTTTTAAAGGGTTAATCTCTGTTATGACTAGAAAGATTATGATATTGTGACCTAATTTTGATATAATTCTAAGGGAAATATTAAAAAATAAATAGTAGCTAAGTTTTTATTATGAAAATAACTTAATTACTTCCAAAAAAATAAGAAATTTATCATAAACCCTTGCCAGCAACAAGTGAATCTTATTTAAAGAACCAAAAATTGCCATAAAAAGAGAGAAAAATAAGGGAAATATAAAGCGAATATGATAGGAGCAAGGAGTCCCTGATAAAAGGCAACCTGGGGATCCACCCACAGCACATTGTGATCCCTAATCTGTCATCTCATTCAGCAGCGCGCTCGTTACCTTTTGGCTTTTTTTCTTCTACCTTACATCTTGCCTTTACCTTTGGCTTCTGTAACTGCTCCGTTTCCCCTTCCGCTTCTCGTCTTCAGCCTTGTCTTCTTCTACAGCTCCTCCCCCACTTCTCGTTTTCTGCTGCCCACCTACTTCCACCTTTTCCAACAAATGTCAGTTATCAAAAAATCGCAGTAGCAACGAAAAACAAGTATGAATTTTAGACTTGAAGTTACTTTTTGATGCCCTTTCCCAGAAATAAAAATAAATAAGGGAAAAATACTAAACTTTCAAGCTGAAAAGGCAAATCTTTTTTAAAGTTAATCCTAAATGATTATTAAATTTATTATTATTAAGTAAATTTTTATAATTTTAAGACTCTCACTAAGGGTATAGCTACCCGACAGCAGCTCGACCGAAAACAAACAAGTAGCGTTAAGAAAATGTTGGCCAAGCCGTGATAAGGCGCAGCCAACTGCCACGCCCACCCTGCAGAAAGAGCACCGCCCATCAGAAAGAAGGGGCGGCAGTGGTGGCAGGTCGATGGCCACAACAAAATCAACAATAAAAGCAAGAAAATCATGGAAAGCAAGAAAAGCGCGACGAACTTTGCGACGCGCCATAAACTTTTGGCAAGCAGTGTTTTGGGGGTTTACAGCTATAGTCAAAATAATAGTGATTGATAGGAAAAATTGAGATAAATTTTAAATTAATATTTTTTAGAAGAAGCTTGAAAGGTGGGCCTTATTCTGCATAAATGCCTGAATTTTCTAAGATCTAAACTAAAAATTACTTAAAAAAGAGGGATTATTGTTCAGTTTTTTACCATATCAGATTATTATATAGATCGTACGGTTCACTATCCCTAAAATCCTATTCAAATTTGCCAAACTTCATGCTTATAAAATCAGGGAAAGAAGAGTTTTTGGAGAACCACCCCCCACCCCCAAGTTGACTGACAACAACAAAGGATGCGGCACCCGATTTTTGGGAGTCAAGTGCTTGCCCCGCCACGCCCACTTGCCCAAATCCCCCCTCCCCCTTGCCACCCACTAAATGCGACCAGTCACGAATTGAACTAACAGCAAACGGACGTCGCCATGTCACGAAAAGCAAAAAGTGGATTCACAAGAAGGGAAAAATCAACATGAAAAGAAAAGTAGAAGCTAAAAAAAAACATAAGTAGGAAATATGGAAATCAAATTAGTCGAAAAGATATATAGATATATACTTTTGAGACAGAATATTATTGAAAAAAGTTCGAAAAAGGATTTTTAAACCATGGGAAAAGCTTTTTTTTTTTTTAAACTAACTCCAAGTTTGTTTTAGCTAATTAATATCTCAGCAACAAAGAAGATTTATTAAAGATTATGACTATATATAATAATATGATATACTCATAGGTTTAGTTTTAGGATTTCTCCTCCTTAAAACCAAAAAGAAAACAGCTTTTTCAGTCAGGAAAAAAGGAGGTCGATCGCCTTGCTCTGATATGCCAGCACACGCTTTCGAAGTCACCTAAAAAAAAAGCCACTCACACCCACACCCACACCCACACCCACCCACATTTCCCGCAAATCAGCAACAAGAACAAAGAAAAATCGCAGTCCAACAACAACAACAACAAAAGTGATATAAAATGTATAAAAAATCTAAAAAAAGAAAACCAAATCCAAAGGCAAAGGCTGAAGCGCCATGCCATGTGGGCGGTCGCTGGCTGCCACGCCCTAATGCATTTCATTTCGCTGTGTGTGTGTGTGTGAGTGTGCAACACTGACAAAAAACATAAAAATAATACAAAAAAAATGAAAACCAAACTGAAATCTGCTGTTCGGTGTCACTTTTGCTTGTTTGTTGCGGAAAAATACTTTTTGCCAGCAGTATTTGTCGGTCCTTAAAGGAAAACAGGGTAGGAAAGTGGGCTAGTCCTGTTCTTAGTAGCTTCGTTTTCTTAAAGGATAATATTGTTAAGGATCTAGGTTAAAATGGGATGAAAAAATGGTTAGAAAGTGGAGCTTAACTTGGTTAAGGAAGTATTATTTTTGAGATTTTTAAACTTGTACAAAAATTTTAATTGGAAAATCCTACTTAATACCCCATTTGAATACCCCAAAAAGTAATCTTTTTCTATATAAGAAAATCTTTTTAATCAATATATAATTACAAACTAATTTGCTTCTTAAAAATCCCAAATTTATATCCCCTTAGCTTTCCAGCTCTCCCTACGTGGCATTTTTCCCGTTGCATTGTTGAGGAAAGTTTTTGATTTTCTTTTCCTATTTGTTTTGCCATTGTGCAGGGGGCGAGTGGGGCTGGTTTTTCCAAAGAGGTAGAAAGGGTGCAAGGAGGCCTTGCCACCCCCTCGTATGTGGGTGCCTTGCCTTCCGTCTCGTTTGCTCTTCTTGTAAGATGGAAGCATATTCTATCCCCTCCCCACCCTACTATTTGGCTTTATCTTAGCCTGCATTTTTTTTCGGATTTTTTTGTTTGCATTTTTCTTCTCCCCCTTTTTTTTAGCATTTTATTCAAATATTATATGGGGTTTGTGATTTAGCAAAGGGCCAAGGGAGAACACACCTACCTACCTAGCCTCCCCTATTTTTTCACCATTTTCCCCCGCCCTTTTCTATTCTACTATTTTTTATTTTTCCATTTTCTTTTTTTTTTGCACTTGCTGTTTGTTTGCGTTGGCAACATGAATGTTGTCACTTGGTTTTTGCCAAGTTCTTGTAGTTACCACCCACCCCCCCTTTCTTTTGGGGATATCTTTTCTCGTTTTTTGACATGTTGTCAACTTCACGTAATGTCAGACAAGTTTCAAGTTTTTCCCTTTTCCCTTTGTGACATGCATGTGAACTGATTTCCCATTCCCATTTATTATTTTAACCGCCCCCGCCCCGCGCCCGCTCTCTCTGATGTTTTTGTTTTTAGTTTAGTTTTGTATATTGCTAGTTGGGGATTTTTCCCTCTTCATATATGCAGTTTTCCTTGTACTCTGCCAGAGGGATAATGATGAAAAAAGATGATAGTTTTATGATATTTTTGAAATTTAAACGGGTTTTTTATGGTTTAAAAATGTTAACAATCTAAGAAACTTAAATTAAAGTTAAAAATTCTAAGGATAAACCAGAAAATGTAAACTTTTTAAAGCAAAAACCAAACTTAAAAGAAGGAATTACCCCTCTTAAAAGCCTAAGGTCACTCTGCCTTGAGTTCTAGCAGGTTAAATGGTCACACTACACTTTCTTTAGTAACGAAACTCTAGTTTCCACTTAAAAAATCTCCAAAGTACTTACAAATTTATATTATTTAAGACTTTTCTTCAACCAAATCTGAAAACTCTTCGATTTCTTCCCTGACCTTACCCAGCAATGCAAACTCAGTCTTCCTAACAACTTTTCCTCTAGAGTAGAACACGAATTTTCCAAAAACTCGACCAGTTTTTCATTTCAGATCTTACCCTTGCCATTTCAAGATATTTTCACACACACACAAATGCGTGTGTGTGTGTGTCTTTCTCTCTGTGTATGTGTATTATATCATATTGCAGTTTTGGTTGTCTTCGTCGGTATCTTTCGCATCTTTCATATCATTTACATACCTCCCTGCAGCCCCCAGAAAAACCCCCTCCATGAAGTATCTTTTTGTGTATCTTTGTATCTTTGCATCTGCTGGCTGCTTTGTTAATTTAAACTGTGCTGTTGTGTGTGAGTGTGTGTGTGTGTGTGATTTGTGACTCGTCGTCGTCGTCGTCGTCTTGTGCCTAGAAATTTTTGCGGACTTCAACGGCTGACTGCACAAAATTTGATTTGGCAATAGAAATTGTTGTAAATAATTTGTGAAACGCAAATTTCGTACGGCCCCCAATCTGATCTTGCCAGAATTTATGGGTTTTATTTAGTGTGTTTGTAAGAGGAGATATGTGAAAGGAATCTT